TCCATGAAGAGAACAGTTTCCACTCTCTACTCCTTGGCGAGCCCGGGCCCGAGGTTCGCCTATCTGTCGAGTATGATATTCCATCCCTAACCTCGAGCAACTCCACAACAACCAGGGAAAGCTGTTTTGTTCCTCAGCCGCGAATGTCCCAACCCACTCTAAGACAGCCAAGGCCGCTTTCGGTGTCATCCACAGCCTTTGGTCGTAGGAGATCCAGCTTGGCCAGCCTCAGCAGGCTTATCAGCAGTTCTCATGGTGAAAGGAGCAAGCTGTCGGTGGAAGTGACACTAGACCCTGAAGCAGAGAGCAAGAAAGCTAAAGGCGGTAAAGCCAAACGCCTCAGCAAGTTGATGCAGTTTTGGAAGACAAACAAAGATACAACTACGTCCTCCAAACGCTCCTGATCTTAAGCGGCGAAATTTGTCGAAATATTAGTGTCAAATCATTTTGGCACATCTCAAAGACATGTCCCACGGTCTTTGATTGTACAGGGTATATTTGAATTTGAAGAGTTGGCCAAGTAATGTAGTTCAGACTGACCAACTTTGCGCCAAGGGCTGGTTTAAGCATTACATATCATGTATCGCTCGGGTATTTTTGGCGTTTGACGAAGGCATGATTTTTTCCGGTCAACCATCTATATGGATCTCACGGTTGTTGAGCGCAACGGGGTGGTGGCGAGCAATAGACGCTGAAAGCGACAATGGAGTTTTGTACCGCCTTGTCCCTCGTTATGGGGGGCAAGGTTGCTTGCATTCTGTTTGTTTGGGTTAAGAGTTGTGTTTATTTTGAGGGTACTATTTAGATTGCCCAGGATGAAATGAAACCGCTTTTGATACATGCTAAATTTCTGATGAGTATTGTTATGTGGTGACTTGACCAGAAGATGAGTTAATCCTACCCGATGCTGGTGAACATGCGTGTGGAGTGTAGTACGTAGTCCTTGTATGAGATTGTTCCAGTCCCCCGATCACAGACACGCACAAAGGGGTTTATTAGATGTGCTTCTTAATCATTATCTAACATGAGCTAGAAGGCAAGCGAGAATGTGCGAAACGGTATCCAATTGTCTTGACAGAAACGCCAGGTGACTAAATAGCCATGTCACTAAATCCACGTGGATGAAGGCTATGCTTGCTTCAGGTTTCAGTGCCAGACGGCGATAGGGCTCCTCATGTCTCGCCTGAGGAATGATGACGAGATGAGATACACGTGTAACAAGAGAAGGTCAAGAATACGAAAATAAATGGCGATCATCCCATCATCTAATCAAAAATTTCCCACACAAAAAAAGACGCCGTGTTCCCCGATCCCAAATGAACAATAATACATCTGCTCATAAGGGTTCAAAAACCCCGAGGAACAGTCAATACCCCAAAGCATCAAATGTGACTCATATCATAAAACCTCTTCCCAGATTCGATTCAAACGGTCAACAGGCTCAGAAGAACATCTTGCTGATCCCCTTCGTGACGGCGTCGCCCCAGTTGGTCTCCCCCTCGCTGCGGTAGCTCCGCTCCCAGGCCATGCCGTCGTCGTAGCCACTGGCGTTGACGCGGACCGAGGCAGGGGCGGCGGCAGCACCACCGCCGCTGGCCATGCGGACGGCCTCGCCGACCAGGCCGGCAGTGTCGCCGGTGACGGCCTTGGAGGCGACGCCCATGAGGCGCTCGAGGGACCCGGGCAGGCGCAGGCCGAAGCGGGCGAGGAGCGCGGTCAGGATGCCGCCGCTGATGAGGGGCATGAGGACGAGGAAGAAGACCTTCCAGGGGTGGCGCTTGGCCCAATGGACGAGGTCGCGCAGCAGGCGCTTGAGCTGCTTGTAGGAGCGCTGGAGGAAGCCCTGGCGGGAGGAGCGCTTGTAGTAGGAGGGTTTGCCTTGACTCGGGTGTTAGCTGCTTGCGGGCTTGCTTACAGGGGAGGGGGGAGGAGGCTGGGGATGACATTGAGAGAGGGGGGCGGGGATTCGTACCTCCAAAGTTGAAGAAGCTTGAGCGGCTGCCATTGCGGTCATCGCCGAGGTTGAAGAAGGAGGCTTTCGATGAGGAGTTGTGCTTGTAGTTGTCGCCTCCGAAGATGGAGCCGAGGCCGCTGCCTTTGCCTCTGCCACGGGAGCTGGATCGGGAGCGCGACCTGGAGCGCTTCTTCTTGTGGTGGGAGCGCGAGGAGTGGCGGCGATGAGGCTTTGTGCCCGAGATGACGGACAGTGAATCGTCGAAGAAACCCATGGCGGAAAGCTGGTCGCGGATGCGATTGAGGGTGAAGGGTGTTGGCGGGTAGTGAGTCTACCGCTGCGACGATGCACTGGCCCCTCGTCTATTGCCTTGGATGAATGCGATGCGATGCGAAGCTCAATCGAGGTACTGCGCTCTCAAAGCAGATGAGGGAAACTAGATACGCGATGCGATATAGCGCAACTGCAAGCTCGTCGTTTTGGCAGCGCTGGAAGTCGTCAATCCAAGCTCCTCAGCACACCAGATAGATGGTGTCTCGGCTAGGTTGGTTGAATTGGCAAGCTGCGCGCGCGCAAGAGCGGGAGAGTGGTGTTCAAGCGAGGGGCTCAGACCAGACCTGCTCCTTGCTCTCTTAACCGTCCCGTAATATATGGTGGGCGCCGCTATAAACGCTTGGAATCAAGCAAATGTTCATGCAAAGAGGAATATGCAAGCAAGAAAACGTGAGAGGGATTGGCCGGATAGTGAGGGAGTGGAGAGAGAGGGTCTCTCGTTCGTGCAAGGTCCCTTCACCGTAAATTCGAATGGCTGGTCAGCAGGCGAGACTGGGCCGATCCCTCCTCAGCTATCGCCAGGCTGGCAGGGGTCTTGGACTGACTTCCTGGGAAGTCGATCTTTCAACTAAGCTAACGAGCAGACAGCTATTCGCAGCTCATTATTGGCCTGTCAATTGGGCTGCTGCTGTGAAGGGGACATGTCTGGAGTTTCGGTTGGACTAACAGTGACAGACAGGTGCCTATAACCCAGTGTCTTCTCAGGTTGGGGATTCAATATGTGCTCAGCACGACATTCCCTCTATGGTGGGTACGGGGCGCAGCGAACTTGAGACCTCCCCATTGACCTCTGTCGCAGAGCGAGTCAGAAGGATGCATGAAACCAGTTGAATAAAACAACTTTCGTCAGTTGTTTGAACCTGCATTGATGCTGTCAAAATAGTCAACCCATCCGCTTTCCGGTGGGTAGCTCTTAGCTCTCGCTGTGTTCGAATGTCCATTATTCCCGGCCAACATTCGCATGTGCCAATGAGATGCATTATAGTGAAACATATAAATATATATACCAACATGAGTTATTCTCCAAAAACAGGCTCTTCTCTTACATCCATTCAATCTAGGTACATAGCAGGAAAGGCTCCCTTCGATATCTGACTGCCAAGTGGCATTGTCGCTGTAGCCTTCTAACCCATCAAGCAGCGTTTGTAATAGGGGGGTGCATTAGTCCTGTATCGACTTGCAGGTGAAACAAGCATCTACGAATGCAGGTACTAGTCTGGGATAGCATGGTCGATGCTGCCAGAATATTCGCCTTGGTAGCTCCTAATCACCCTAAGAACTCAAGAAGCCTCAAATGCAATGTTCCCCTAGAATTGCATAGCCTCATCTATTCACATCTATTGAGCAGATACAGAATGAATCGCTCAATCCCTAAGGTTAAGCGGGATGGACCCACCACACTGTAAATCGCCGACATGGTAAGCCACACTAGTGCGATAGCCACACCGCTTTCCACATTCGATCCCCCGCCATCGAAAGGACCGGCAGAAATTTTCAGATTCGCCCCAAACGCCGAAAAAAAATCCACGATTCGCAACACCGCTTTCACAGAGCAGGACGGTTCGAAGCAGACATATCCCACGAGACCATGACTGCAGACAACGAAACCGCCGCGGCGACGGCCGTGGCCCCTTCGAAGCCACATGGCATGCGAGTCAATGGTAGGTTACTTTTTTGCTTCATCTCACGTCAGGCCATGCGACGAGGCATTAGAGCTAACTAAGGCTTAAGGAAAGAAATGGCTCCCGACCAAGAAGGCCTTCCGGCCAGGCGCTGGTCTCTCATCATTTGCCAAGCGGGCCAAGGAGCGCGTGTTGCTGGACCAGGTGAAGGCTAAGGAGAAGGAGTTGAAGGACGAGAAGGAGCAAGACCGCCAGGTAGGCTCTCCAGTACACGACCCATGCGTCGCACATGCTAACCTTTCGGGCGCAGAGGAAGATAGAATTCATCCGGGAGAAGAGAGCAAAGAAGGAAGAGAAGGAGCGGTATGAAAAGATGGCCGAGAAGATGCATCGCAAGCGTGTAGAACGGTTGAAGCGCAAGGAGAAGCGCAACAAGATGATTAACTCCTGATGTCAAAATACATACTCAGCAAAATAATTCGATACCCAATGATTCACGATACAGTACTGGATGTTGTCTGGGAAGAAAGGAGGCAAAGAAAAGGGATGCATGAAAGCAAGCACATAACCTAGCGCCTGGGCGGCCTCAAACTCTACGCTCATACTTTGATTTGAAATTTTGAAGAGACATTTTGTCAGTACGCATTCAATCTCGTTCCATTCCTTACTACTTCCGGGCTATATTATCATGAAAAAAAAAGGTGAATTTAGCCGAAGCCTTGTTGATAATAATTATATGTGCATCATCATGTATACATATATGCACAGTCTATTGTTTGTATTTTATTCTAAAAGATCTGAAATGATCAGACTCCGCGCCAAAGCTCATAAAAGGGAAGAGAAAAGGTCAATCCAATGCAGTCGAGGTTCAATGCCCAGAACCTGAACAACACCATAACGTGAATGTATATATGCATATATGGTCGTACGCAATTCCAGGCTCAGAAGATGACAATCCAATATTCTATTTCAAGGTTCTGTTGGGCCTGGAGTTGGACAAGAAGGGCAGATGGTCTCTTTCGCGCTCTATAACTGGACAGCGAGATGTGGTGTCCTCGCTGAACTAGGTAACACCACTGTCCGCGACACGCTTAAAACCCCGCACCAAGTCTTTGAGAGAGGAGCTCCTCAGTCTTTGCGTAGACCGCATCAGGGCTTTGTGTAGCATCAATCTTGACGACCTTGCTCTCCTTCTCGTAGTAGTCAATGACGGGCATGCTCGTCTCGACGAACGTCTTGAACCGCTTGCGAATGCTCTCAGCGTTGTCGTCGGATCGGCCACTCGTCTTGCCACGCTCGAGCAGACGCTCCTCCATGACATTCTCGGGGCAGTCGAAGAAGAGGACGAGCTTGGCGGGGCAGACGATTTCCTCGAATGAGTGGGCCTGGTCCATCTTGCGAGGGAAGCCGTCGATCAGGAAGCGGCCGGTGGTCTTGCCAGCCTCAGCCAGGATATCTCGCATGGCGTTTCTGAGGAGATTGATTGTAACCTCCGAGGGTACAATCTTTCCATCCTTGATATATTCGCGGATCAGGTCGCCGTACTGTGAACCCTCACGTTGCTGTTCAGCACGGAGAAGGTCGCCCGCAGAGAGATGGCTGAAGCCATGGCCGGAAACGAGTTTAGCGCATTGGGTGCCCTTTCCTGCACCTGGGCCACCCAGGACGAAGACGACAGTAACGTCTTTGGGGTCGAAAGCGGGCGATTCCTTGGTTGTGGGAGCCATCTTTGCGTTGTCTTTGACGAAGCTTACAGGGTTGGAGGGGCTGTGAGTTGAAGTCAGGGGGTTGAGGATAACGAGGGGTAGCTGCGAGGTGTGGTTTATGTAGCTGTGGTCCGTGCATTACACACTATCGGTTACCCTGTAGTTGCTAGTTCTCGTAATACCCAGCTACTAGGTCCTCAGGCTATTGTTTATTGGTGTATATATTAGATTGGTAATATGGCGGTTGTCTTTCTAGTATGGGATAGAGCCTCTTTTGGATTTGCTTCGTTTTCCCTCATCTTCTAGTTCCAGTGAACCCCATTTGCACATGTCTAGGATTGGCGGCCGCGCAATTTCTGGGCGAGCGTGACGCCAAACCATTGTAATTCCTCAATTCCAATAATGAAGTTTCCCTCCCCTGGTCCTGGATCACGAAGAAAGAGATCGGAAAATCTTAGCTCCAGCGCACCTCTAGTGACGCTATATGACGAGAGAAGAAAATCGTTTGCTGTAGTAGAATTCTTAACGATTTTAATAGCTTGTTCGAGAGTTGGCTCAACCTGTTGAGCTCCACGAGTTCTTACGTCAGGAAAATCGATCGGCCGTTCCCGCCAATATTCAATGTTAACTTCCCTTAGTGGTCCAGGGTGCATTTTGACAAGAAGAACAACTTTAACCTGGTGGTCTGACTCACTAAACCACCACATCATATCCTCCTGTAACTGAGGTAAAGACTGTGAACACCCAGCTTCAATAACGAGCGTAGGCCACCGTCGTAAGCTCTGTTCGTGAGGCTGGAATGGGCCTCCGCTGGAGTCACCTTCTCCGGCTCCAGTGTGGCCATACTCTTGGAAAAAAGTTGTACCTGCCAAGGGATACCAATAGCGCTTTAACCCCATGGGAATCATTTGATCAGTTATCTCACTATAGAGCCATAAATGCATACATTCATGGTAATGAGTTGGGATTGTAATGATGAGTAGGCCTTGATCGGGATAGTATCGCTTGAATCGATATTTACGGTCATTCGACTCTCGAAATCTCTGAATGACAGTAAAATCCTGTGGAGATACGCCTAGATGTCTAAAAGTTAGCCTCTATTAGATTCTGAATAGCTCTATTATTCATCTTTACCTTCAACAAAGAGAACATCACCTGGTGTCTGAAAAATTTGCCTAGCAAGAAGTTCTGCTGTTTGGAACTTAATCCGAGGAAGGCTACCAGCGTCGGTAGATGATGCAATAGTCGTCGGATCAATATTGACTGATGTAGCTTCATGGGAAGCTATAGAGCCTCGTGGTGAAATGACTGGATCCATTTTGGCTGCAGGGATTGCTTTTGGAATGTGGATTTGTGATTTGTGAAGAGGAACACAGAGAGGGGCCTTCAGAGGCCGAAGAATGGACCCACTTCCCCAATCCCGCGGTTATGACATTAATAGCGGATGCTATCCGCAACTATTACCATCAGCTCAGAGATGCCCCTGATAAGATTGCGTCAGTGTTTCAATTCCTCCGTGAAACCATGGCATCCCAACAATAACGAGCCATGTCGAACCTAGGTGGACGTGAGGCGTCAGCCTCCATCAGCAGGCATCAAGTAAAGCGCTCCATTAGCGAAATCGCAGCGCCGATTCTGCCAAGGAGTGGCCACTCACGGCATCAGTCGCACCTCTCCCAACACCTGCGAAAGGAACGATACAATGACCAGTCGGCCCAGCCTGGATATCAGATGCCAGCACGATACTCCCTCGACGTTTCGCGACCAGATGTGCTCTCACACAGTCGCCACCCCAGCACCATGGGCGTGGCGAAGGACGAGAACAGGAGCAGAACAAGCATTATCGAGGCTGAACGCAAAGCCAGCAAGCAGGACCTTCTCCGCCAGGAGCGCGAGAAGGCAAAGTCCAGGGCAGAGTACGTTACCTCTTGGGCAAAGTACTGCTCAGCCAAAGCTAACTGTTGCTTTCTCTCCAGTGGCCTGAAACAGTCGCTCGTCCAACTCCACACGTTCTCGACGACGGCAACGAGACGCCTCGACCAGACATATTACGCCATCTTGGAAAAAACGAGTGCGTTGCAGGGCACAGTGGCAGCCCTCAAGGATCTCACGGAAAGTTCTAGGGAAATCTATACAACATTTGAGAAGGACTCTAAGGGTCTGGAAACGGATATTACCAGCCAACTGGATGCACTTGGTCATTTCGATGAGCAACAGTCCAAGATCGAGTCACTACGAGACCGTATTCATGAAGGCAGAGCAAAGGTCCAGGCTCTCAGCGCCCGCGTCGATTCTGTCAGAGAGCGTGTCGAAGGTTGGGAGCGAGCGGATCAAGAATGGCGAGACAGGACTCGAAAACGACTCAGAGTGGTCTGGACTGCCATTTTTCTTCTGCTTGTTATCATCGTCGGATTGTTTATGATGTTGAATCCTGGACGCTCTTTGCCTTCACAGTCTCCCGAGGATATATTAGACTCGCTGAGGGACGCACCATTGATGGACACGCCACTGAGGGACACATCACCGAACATCCCTGAACTAGATCATGTACCACTGGCAGATGTGGGCGGAGTTTCTCCCGTAAGCGACCGTACATTAAACTTTACGGACATGTCCTTGGTTTGGGCACGGCCTGCGGAGACTGAAGATCGACTTCGAGAGTTTGACGAGCTGTGAAGCACCTAGGTCTACCATGTTTTCTTTGGTTTCTGCAATGGCGGATATTTTGATACGCCTGCCTTCTGCTAGTCTACATATGCAATAAGATACCCCTTTGTTTCTTTGATTTGAGAACAGTTGCTCGGCTGTAATTGCCCTATTGACGATGTATTGCGAACAGCCTCATGTTTGCATCACGTGGACGTTTGACATGGCTGACGGGGATAATGCCTACCTTCGCAGCGGCTGACCAACTGAATCTGTGACCTGGATCCTTGTCCTGCAGGTGGATGACGTAGTAGGTGGTGGTGGATGACTGTTTCATTTCGTTTCTTGCAGAGGTCAGCTTATGAAGCTCCTGACATCATTGGGGAAACGCGTCTCTTCAGCAAGAAGCTTCGCCGCCTTGTTGGTACGTATGTAAGATTTCCTGACACATTTGTTGCCAGGCAGTTTGTATCGGCTTTCCAAAATTGGCAGTGCTAGAGGCATACGTGTCTCTATTCGGCATATAGGTGCGCGCTGCAGGTCAGATTCACATTAGCTCTATTCTGCATCCTGCGAAGATATTCAGCGTGGTACATACGTGCCAGCCCTACGATTGACCCTGATTACACATGCACAAATACGGTACAGCTGGAGACCAACCCAGGCTTCTGGATCCCGGGACTTGTGTTTCCCCTGGATCACCAATCCGCGGTCTGTTGGCTGGTGAATAGGATTACACTGCTTATTAGTCCCAGCCACTGGACCCAACAGTTACTGCTACAGGCAAGTAGCCGCGAGTATTCGAAAATCTGGACCCGGGTCTTTTTTGGCCGTTTATCCCCTTGGTGAGGCACATTCGCCTTGTTAGCAGGCTTGGCAGCGCGGTCCACGTCATACCCCGCCATAGGTAGCTGGAAGAGAAATTGCCATTGGCACTGGCGTAGGTAATTTTAGCTGGCGGCGGTTAGTCGGTAGCACATCGCAATGCTACCTCCTACCTTACCTTGCACCTCGCCTACCTTACATACATACCTAGATTTCCTTGTGTTGAGCCTGTAGATATCTCCTCCATCTTCCCAGACCCGATTGCTCGGTAGGGCCAGCTGGGAGATTCTGGCTTCGTCCCTCCCGCTCTCCCGCCTCTCGTGATCACTCCCACCCAGCTGCCTGACCAAGGTCACGCCAAGCTGCAGCGTTGGGTCCCGCCAAGGCCGACGAGCATTGTCGACGAGGTAGGTCCATAGGCTTTCCGTCAGCCCTTCTGCCCTACCTACTCTTTCGTCCGCTAGCCCCTCCCAAGTTACGCGCGTCCCCAGCCCAGATCTTTCAGCTTGGCGCCCATTCCGCACTGCTGCCAATACGCGTTGCGCTCGAGGTGCAGGCCCCGAAGTCTCCCCGCCTTTTTGGCCTTGGGTTTGGGACGGCACGTCTCTCCCGCCTGGCTAACATCAACCTAACATAGGACATACAACTCCTTCCGGGCCAAACTGCCACCCTCTCGCCGTTCTCCCCCCGACGACGACGACCTCGTTTGAGTGATGGCTGCGGGAGACGCTGAGAAGCCCGACGGCGATGGCGGGGTTGCTGCCCCGGCTGCTGGATCCACTATCAAGCTGCCCATCCGAAAGGCCAGCGATGGAGGCTCTCCTCCACCGGGCCAGTCGTTGACCGGAAAGCAAGAGCACTGTACGTGGCAATTGGCGAGCTCCGCCGTTGAGGGCTGTTTGTGCCAGTGACTAACGCGAGCGGGATTTCACAGATCTGAAGCGCGAGCTTGTATCGGAGCAGGTGAGATGGGAGATCAACGAGCTCAATTCCCCCACGGCCTTGCGCCGCTTCGGAGCCCCCTTCAAGTCCGACCACGGCGAGGTCGCCCCCGAGGATTCGGAACTCCCGATCCTGCGCTACATCTTTGTCAACCACATTCGCGATTTCCCTTTTCTTGATAAGGCTCGGGAGAAGGAGTTTTGGCAGGATAAGCTCCAAGTGGTATGTCTGCCCAGCATGGACCCCATCACTCGTTTCCATTTCCACCCCAACCGTCCTGTCGCGCAGGCCACGACCGCTAACTAGAGAACCACCTTGAATAGTTTCTGGAGTCTTTTGCCGGTAAACGAATTTCATCTTCCGAGGACCGGCTCGAGGAAACCAAGCGACGCAAGCTGGCGATTAAGGCTAGGAAGCTGGTCGAGCTAATGATGGTTTCTGGAATACGAACATCTTCCGGTTTCGAAGAGCGCATCCGTTTCTCCGAGCTCGAAATAGTCGACGCCAACGCTATAGACACGGGGGTTCAGTTCAACATCCCCGAGGGCAACTACATCAATGGTTGGGACGTCAACGTCTCTGGTGTGCGGGTGACGACCGTCAGGGGAATCCTCCGAAGCCAGAAGCACGCGGAGTTTATCCTGAGGATCAAGAAGAAGGGCGAGCTTGAGCATTTCGTCACTCGCAGATATGGCGACTTCCACAGGCTCCATCGGCGCTTGAGGCTGGAGCTCCCTGGAAGGACACTGCCAGCTATGCCGCAGAAGAACAAGTCGGATTCGACGGCGAACGGGATCTTGTCATCTTTGGGATCTGGGAATGGCGACGACTCAGATGCTTCCTCGGTCTCCTCTGGCGGAACGCGCATAACCAGCCGCTCGGGGTTGAAGACTAAATCCTTACTTTCCCCAACTGATGCAGGTGAGAAAGGATGTTTCTGGCCAGGCTAGTTACATTGTGTGCCTTATGCTAATTTCGGTTCTTAGGAAATCGCCGAGAAGTCTCATCAAGTGCCGCTTCTATCAGGTCCAGTCTTTCGCGAAAAGTGGCTTCACCCAGAACATCTGCAGATGGTCGTCTTACACCATTGTCGCCAAGAGACCAGGAAAAGAAAGAAGTTAGTTGGGTTGATCGCTTCCATGGTTGGTCTTGTCTAATATCGTGTTAGGACATCGTTCTTTGGCGAGAGAAGCAAAGAGTTTCTTTGCGGGCCTTCATCCGATCTCTTCTCCACAACCCCCAGATTGCCAACACCAAGGCTGTACAGGAGTTTCTGAGTGGCGATCCCATCACGCCGACTGATGAAGATGTTGACGATATCATCCGACGAAAACTCATTGATGAGAAACGGATAGAGGAACAAAAGAAATTCTACGAGATAGCCCGCAAGAGAGCTGCGGACCTCGATGAATATATGGAACAGTGAGTATAGCAGATCGAACGATGCAATAGAACGTTGATTTGCTAATGTTTTGCTTCAGGTTCCGCCGCGATATCGTGGAAAGCCACGGTCTGACCAAGCTTTTCGCTGAAATCAAGGAAAAGGAAACGATTCCCGACCTGAGCATTCAGTATCGAAAGTTCGCTGAATGGCTTCGCATCGAGATCGCCGCCGTCATCTACCATGTGTTCCTTGCTGAAGACAATTCCCCAGAGCTGTTTGCACAGGCCAGGAGAATCCACTCGCTGGTGCCGTACACTGTTATTAAGAACGTCATCCGGATCGCCAATCCAGCGGCTGTGATGTCTGGTATTCTCGATGTTTTCCTCGCACAGCCCTTTGGTACCCGTTCGCTCCTGCAGCGCATCTTCTCTCTCACCCTTAATGAGGGCATAAGAAGCTTTCAGAAGTCAATTGACATTCTCAATGCAAAGACTGGGGACCCGGTGTTCGCTGAGAAGATTTATGCCTACACAAATGCCGATCAAAGTGTCCACGATGCCATCCGAGAGGAGGCGGAAGCCGATGGTCTTGACATTATTGTGACGCTTCTGAGATCCGATTTGATCGAGCCAGAGTTGTCTGGTGAACAGGTCGGGCGTCTGTTTAATGCATATGTTGCCTTCAACAACGCCGTGGAGAATATTGACGAGGAGATGCGCGAGGGAGCCCAGTTATTCTCATACCTGAAGCAAATGATGAAGCTCTGCACGCGGCAGCGGGACAAGCAAATGATGCTTGAGCTGATCGAGCAGCCCGTCACCCTGCAACTCTTCCGCGATCTGTTCACTATCTTCTACGAGCCCCTAGTGAGGGTATATAAGTCAGCAAACGTTTACAACAGCGTTACGGACTTTGCTGTTTTTGTCGATGATATCATTCAGGTATGTCCGGAGGAAACATTTCTAAAGTCCTGGAGGTCCCCTAAAGGCTAACGATGTTGAAATAGGTGGTTGATAAATGCCGGGAGCAAGATGCTTCTGCTGATCCTAATCAGACCGTTCAGGCTTTCATCGATCTATGCGAGAGGCACGAGCACAACTTTTATAAGTTTGTTCACGAAGTTCACGTCCATGATAATGGGCTGTTTACGCAGCTTATGGGATGGATCGAAGGAATTCTCGAGTTCCTCCGCCACGGTCCCAATAATGGAACACTGGACGTCAACGCGCTCTTCGAGGGTGGTGTTACCGGTGGACTAAATAAGGAGAAGGCCATAGGCGAAATCAACTCCCTTATCGCCTGGCAAGAAGCCCGGAAGAGGTGGCACACGGACAAGACAAGACAGAAACTTGCTGCCGAGGCTCACCACGACACGGGTCTGATTGGCTCTGGCTTCAAAACATCTGATTTTGGATTGGATGGGCAAGATCTCGAGGACATGACTTATGATGATGGCTCGGACGAGGAGGCAGAAGCTCAAGCGGAGGACGAACTGGATCCTATAGAGGCCGAGCGACGACGACGCGCGAAGCGACAGGATCGCTTGCGACGATCGGCGGGAGAGCCCCCGAAACCGCATGTTGAGGAGGTCCATAAGCTCAAGGAGAATTTCTTGGTGATGCTGAGGCAGGTTCTGGCAAAATAGACGGGGCGCCGCACACATTTATAGACTTTCATATTTCGAAGCAGGAGGTGGGGTATGGGGGTTAGAAGTTTGTGGTATCATGCATCGACCGGCGAGGAGGCGTGTCAGGAAATCTGACACCCAGTTTTTCACTTCTCATCTTGAACGTTTTATGAGATTGTTAGGGGCCTGTCAAGCTAGACCTGTGTATTGGCAGCTGTCTTGGTTCAAGCTTGTCAATGATGGCGTTGCTTGATGGGTTGACTTCAACTCAAGGTCTTGTAGATTTGGGATGAAGGGAGTCTTGCATTGGAAGAAAGTGGTACATATATCCATTTGGTATACATAATGAGAGAGAAGGTGTCAATTAAAGTTTTATCTCCTTTGGATATAGCGTATCTGGTTTCAACCAGGTGTATTCAAGCTATGTGATGGAATGACAAAGAAGCTCCAATAAATAGGCACAGAGAAAGCACTTGGGAGGGCAATCTCGTCTCGGAGAATCCCAGGTCAACTGTTTATCTAGTCCTATGTAGTATAGTTCATCTCATCATTGTGCATGGTTCTTATCTCCACCGTAAGTGTGTAATTGGCTTCATGATGAGAAATGCCTTGCCTGTCATTGGTGTTGGGTTGATGCAACACAATGAGTGCCCTCGGGTGGTGTGGAGCCAAGGGTTACCTTCGACTTAGCAGAGGTTGTTGGTTGTCTGGCTCCCGTGCCCTTGGATAAGATAGAGCCCGGTATGATCCTCGAGGTCTTGTTTCTTACCAAAATAACTGGGCGTTCTATGTTACAGGGCTTAGTCGAGACCACAGCTATGAGATGAATGCGTGATTGACGTGGGCCGGAAATATCATTCAAGAGCATGGTTTGGTGGAAATAATTCTCAGCTAGAATGTACCTGAGTATTGAATGATGTTGGGTTGTAAATACATCACAGGTTATTGATGCTGGGCAAATAGGCAATTTGCTCTCCAAACCAACATTTTCATCATGGTAATTACTTGACTCCCTGTAAACTGCTGGATATAAGAATATCAAGCATGAGGACGAAGATATTACTCTCATAATGTGAGTTCGTCGTTTCTGTGGGATTATCTTAGTAAATTGGTAGGCTTCATTCGTATCCTGCCAACTTGCTGGCATAATTTTTAAATCTACGGCTGTTGACTTTTTATGCATGCACGGTATGGATGTATCTTGAGTGAGCCCCACATTTGTAGTTGAGGTTCCAGAAGTCCACACGTAGCCACTTGAACGACACCAGATTGCGGGGTGAGTGTGTGCCCCTTTATTAAATTCAAACAGACGGAACCTTGGGTTGGCCACGGGATTGGAAGAAACCTAAGGTACTACTGAATGGAACAGAAGTGGACGCCCGACTACTAGGTACTAAAGCTAGAGGTACGCACTCGGTTTGGATGGCTCCTTCCCTCCCAGACGGCTCCCAGGTCTCCGGGTAGGTGCGGGCGACGATGTGGTTGCATTGGACATTAGAACATCCTGCCGAAGGTTCCGTGCTTGCCAAAGATACGACGTCAGGCACCAGATCGAACCTCAGCGCTGATCGGAACCGATCAGATCAGCATTGGATGGATGCAGCCAGCGTAACGTAAAATTCTCACCCTGCCTGCGCACCTCGTGACATTGGCTTTTCGATCAAGTGACTGGATTCAATCTGCTGCATATGCACTAGTCAGCAGCCACCCCGCGGGGGCCTACAAATGAAAGCGCCGATGCGTATCAGTGCACCCCCGCAGTGGACAGGGGTAGATTGTGTTTTCCAGATCAGTTGGGGCTTTGTTCTTGGCCGTCCCCCTCCACCAACCAGGCTATTTTTCCTTCTCATCCGGGACTAATCTTTCTTTTTTTCTTTCCCTCACCCACTGGAATTGGCCATTGATCGACTTATCGATTTGTGCTCATACGCTGTCGAGTTTTGCAATCTCCATTGGGAGCAACACCAATGCCATTCATACACCCCGCTCGGCTGGATCCGGATAGCAACGGCCTAGGAACACCTGCCAATGTGGATGTGATGAGCGCAACACACTTGTCAAAATCAAAATCCCGGCTAGGGTCAAAATCGAAAAGATATGACCTGGGAAAGAGGAGGCGTGGAAGAACCAATCTGGGAGACCGTGCAAGGGATGCCCGTCTCAATGCTCTCAAGCGAGCAGCACGTCGTACATCCAACTCCAAAGTTGCGCCGTTGCTTGCCTCTCGTAGCAGGTTAGTCCTCTCTAGTCAGCACCCCGTACAGCCACAGTTTGGAGGAATTGAGGCGAATGAGGAAGTGGAGATGCTCCCATGGTCTTTTACTGTCCATCTCTTTGCAATTGGATCTGTCACTAACTATTCATACCCCTGTAGAAAAGGTAGTGCTGGGATCCCGTTGGTGATGGCAGATCAGCCGGAAGCCTCGACGGGCGAGCAGAGTTCCACGGCCGTCACCGATCAAGCCAATTGCACAACTAGTGGGACTTATTCCATAATCCCATATTTGGATTCTTTAGCTAACAGTCGTCTAGCCGCCCAGAACGAAAGCACACAGCCTGGGCAATCCCAAAACGAATATGCTCCAACAGAATGGATAGTGCCTGATATCTATTCAGATCCATTCAGCGCCCCTTTATTCACAGATAACTCGGATTCTTTCATGATGTCGCTTGAAGCGCCACAGAACTTTTGGCCCCCTTTGCCTGAATTTATTAAAACCCCACCTGAACACTTCAGACAAGGCCACATCATGTTCCTCCTAGCAGAAGGCGCTTTGACCCTCCCGAGCGTGTCCCTTCAGCATGCTCTCGTCGAAGCATGGGCGGAATTTGCATATCCCTATATGCCTTTGGCTCACATTCATGATTTGTTGAATACAATCCACAACCCGAACAGCTCAGGGCAGCGTATTAGCCTCTTATTATATCAAGCCATCTTGTTTGCCGGTTCCGCCTTTGTCGATACTAAGCACTTAAGACAGGAAAACCACGGTTTCTCAAGCAGGAGAGATGCTAGAAAGGAACTAGCCCGGCGGGTAACAGTATGTCTTTGCGGTATCTTGCAATTTCTCGCACCAAGGCTTACCTGCTTTCTAGCTGTTGTATGATTTGGAATATGAGAGAGATAAAGTCACTCTCGTCCAAGTAGCACTGCTAATGTCATCCTGGTCTGACATGCCGCACGCTAACAAAGACTCATGGCACTGGCTGGGTGTGGCAATCTCGATGGCATATGCCGTTGGAATGAACAACCAATCGACTATACTTGTTCAACCGCCCCGGGAGCAGAGGCTTTGGCGGAGGATCTGGTGGTCATGTTATTCCAGGGACCGGTTCCTTGCTCTTGGGCTCCGAAGACCGATGCGAATCAATAACGAAGATGTTACTGTTACTGGACTGGAGCTGAATGACTTTGAGCTTAACGTGCTGCCCGACAGCAACACCATCATTAGATCGCGAAATACACCACTTCGGGACCTAAACCAACAGCTCCAATTGGTGGACCTATTCATATATCGGTCTCGCCTATGTGCTATTGTTGCGTCAGTTCTCCACGTTCAAGATGCACATGATAAGTCAATGTCTGCCATGATGGCTATCAACTCAAAATGGAGCCAGAAGCTCGATCATGATTTCTCACAGGCGGAGGCTGCACTGAACAATTGGAAACACTCATTGCCGAGGTCGTGTGAGGACCGTCCAGCAGAGCAGGTTGAACTTGATAATGGAAGCGCGACAATCGCAGTTCAACGCACTCATCTCCACATGACATTCCAAACGATTCTTTATTCTCTTCATCGACCAAGGTTTCTCCCCACGTCACCGAAACTGCTTACTCCGGCAAACAAGCGGCCAAAGTCGAACTCAGTCCACCAAATACGAAATTCCGCAGTGCAGATTACCCGAATAGCAAAGAATCTAGGTGAGATGCACCTCGATAGGTTCCTACCTGTCTCGGGAGTCACAGTTATTTTTCCCGCGATGGTGATCAGTCTATTGGACATGAAGAGCCGTGATGCAGGCGTGCGGCAGGCGGCGACAGAGCGATTCTCGACGTGTATGCGGGTGATGGAGACGTTGCAAGAAACGTACATTGCAGCGGATTCTACCATAAATTATTTTAAAATGGCTCTTCAGAAGGCATCCATCAGCCTTTCGACTGCTATGGGCCATCCCAAGGTTGAGCCAGAAACAAAAGATATCATTCCTACAGCAACAACACCCAATACTTTTGTGGACCCGACATCTCTATCCATGCCTGGCTCTACACCATCGATTGATTTCTCGATGGATAACTCTCTTTTGGGCAGTATTGGCAAATATAAAAGTGGGATAGACACACCGGATAAACCTCATATATTGGATTCCAGCCAGGATGTGACAAAAAATATGCTGGAAGACAACCAGTCACCAGCTAATCTTCTACTGAAGAACGAGGCAGGCAGAGAGCTTGAATATTTGTTCAGCGGCTGGCGAGATTTTCCCCATCACTGGGGAGCTGGAAGCTTTGACGAAGCGATAGAAGGAATTTTGGAGTCTGCAGGTGCTTGATTGGATATGAAAAATTGTAGCAAGCGTTGTTTTTTCATCAACTCTTGGATCTAAGAACTTAGGCCAGCTTGCCATAATTTGGCGCGGCTTATTGAAATTGATTATTTTGATCCTAATTATCATGCTTGGCCCTCGGTGCTAGCCTCGGTAGCCTTTTCTCCTTCCTCTTCAGTTTCACCAGTCTTCTTCCGTAGATGCTCTACGGTGTAGAGGAGGGCCTTCACTTCAGTCTCAGTTGCAATAAGATCCTCCGACTCTCCTGCAGCGCTCTCTGAAACACTGCTCGTTGTATCGATTGCTAACGTGCCCTCGCTCAGTTGGAAGGAGTAAATGTTCAAGCTGGGAGCAGCACCTTCGGGCCCAGGATCGAGAGCGACGACAATTTTGGGTGAGCTCTCATCGTCCAAGTTGAAGGCGAGATGGAGGGGGTTTCCTGGAAGTTGGATGATGCTGGGATGGCTTAGAGTATTCTCGTCGGTCAATTCCCAAGCGAAAATTGCTTTTATGCTGTTTTATTCCACGCGTTAGCAGGATGGCACTATCTGATTTGGTTCACTTGGGAGGGAGCGAGGGCTTACTTTTCACAGATGGCTAGGATGAAAGTGATCTTGCCGGAGTCTGATGGGTAATCAAAAGATTCCAATTGAGAAACTGCGACCTCGGACGTTGTTGGGAATACCCGTTGAGCGAGCGAAAGAATGTTAGTCTTGGAAAGGAGTCTGCCTGATGACCAATTCCAGACGAAGAGATTTGTATCACCACCACCAGAAACAAGAATGTCATTTCGCGACCTGGGGATCGTTAATGCATTAACGAACTCCTTGTGGCCCAGGCAGAATGCCTCGATGACGTGTGTTTGGGGGATGTAGCGCGAAACTCGAATATGCTCATCTCGATCAGCAGTGAGAACGTATGTTCGACCTTCCTGCTCTCCCACAACGACATTGGTCAGCATTGAGACGTGGCCAAGTAACAATGTCTGTTCAAATGCTGGGCCATCTGCGTTTGGGCTGTCCCTTTTGTTAAGTTCAATTTGCTTCAATTGCGATTTTAGCGATGCAAGGTTTCGCTTTGAATGAACTGTTAGGGGATTGGCTTCAGGCTTGGCGACAATTTGCCGAGAAGGTGTAGGTGCCCATGTTTCTGACTGAATCAAGGGAACGGCGTAGACATCGCCAAACTTATCGGCGCAGATAATATGAGAATCAGGACCCAGAACAACTGAGCTTGGGCGTTTGGGCATAACTCTTAAAAGAGCATGTTAGTAAACCGTGGTTCATCTGCAAAGTGTATGTTTGGGGGAACACCTACCTCTTACTAAGTTCCTTCAGGTTGCCTGCCAAGTCATGTTCAAAGACCCAAATGGCCTTGTCATGGGCTGTGACGACTATCACATGCTTTCCATCGGCAGTGCTGGTGATGTGTGCGATGAGAGGGCGATCCGGCACCTTGGATACGGATGACCTTGCAGTCCGGGCCTGTGTCTTCTTCTTCCCCGCTTGGTCCTTGCCCTTTGCCTCATCGACAGGCGATTTTTCAGTGGGTGCGGATACCGTATCTTCTGCTTCAGCGGTCTTCTGCCTTTTCGCAGGAGGCTCATCTCCGTCTTCTTGAGCGGCGGAGGATGGATCCTCCTTGACTGTTTCATCCTTTTCCGCCTCAACCTTTTCCGCTTCAGCTATGGCTTTGAAAGCATCGGAGACCTTCTCTGCATCTGGATGTTTCCAAGTCGAGATGTAACTGCCGTCTTGGGCGCTGAAGGAGTGAAGCTGGCCAGACCTGCCGGCAAATATAATGCCTTTACAGACATGAGCATTGTGATATGGGATCTTCATAGCTGCGAGACGAAATTTAGCTACTTGGCAGAAAGCCTGATGCCTGAGAAAATGCGGGCAAGCCGAGTCTGGAGTCTGGAGGAATTGAAATATTACCCAGCCATCAGTGACTGAAATTGCCAAAAGATGAGTTGGATACCTCTGGGCTGGAGTCAGAAGCTCCGAAAAATCTACCACTCATGAAGCTTCACTGCTCTAAGCGGTACTTGGGTACTTGGGAGGTACGTACCTTTCCTTTTCTGATTGCAGGTACGTACCGGCCTCAATTGGAAGAACCTAGCGACCATTCCAATTTAGGCTTAGTTCAGAGAAGCCCTAATTTCAGACCCAGCACAACTTATTTACCCGCCTCTTGGGAAATTTTCCAAAATTCCTGAAGCATCATTCTCGCTCTTCACCAAGCACTTTCCATATACCCAGATACCACTGCCCTTAAACAACCTGCCTTCAGGAAAAAGAAGATATGGGGGGCAGCAAGAACAAGGCCGGCTACTTCGACAAGCTCTCGAGCTTGTTGGAGGAATATAAGTCCGTTTTCATCGTCGAAATCGACAATGTCTCCTCTCAGCAGATGCACGAGATCCGCCAGTCCCTCCGTGGACAGGGTGTTGTCCTGATGGGCAAGAACACCATGGTAAGCTCTACAGAACCAATCGGGCGTCGCGCACCGATTGATCGCGCCCTCACGGTATCTCGTGCTAATTGAGCAATGAAAATAGGTTCGCCGTGCTCTCAAGACCTTCGTCCCCGACCACCCCGAGTACGAGCGTCTCCTGCCCTTCGTCAGGGGTAACATTGGTTTCGTCTTCACCAACGGCGAGCTCAAGGACGTCCGTGACAAGATTCTCGCCAACCGTGTTGCCGCCCCTGCTCGTGCCGGTGCTCTTGCTCCTGCCGATGTCTGGGTCCCCGCCGGAAACACCGGTATGGAACCCGGCAAGACCTCTTTCTTCCAGGCTCTCGGTGTCCCCACCAAGATTGCCCGTGGTACCATTGAAATCACCACGGACCTGAAGCTCGTTGAGGCCGGTAGCAAGGTCGGTCCTTCCGAGGCCACCCTGCTCAACATGCTCAACATCTCTCCCTTCACCTACGGTATGGGTATCGCCCAGGTCTACGACGACGGCCAGGCTTTCCCTCCTTCCGTCCTCGACATTGGTGAGGAGCAGCTCCTCAAGGCCTTCACCCAGGCCATCACCACCATTGCCACCATCTCTCTGGCCATCAACTTCCCCACCATTCCTTCCGTCATCCACTCCGTTGTCAACGGATACAAGAAGGTCTTGGCCGTTGCCATTGAGACTGAGATCTCCTGGCCCGAGATTGAGGAGCTCAAGGACCGCATTGCCAACCCCGATGCCTACGCCTCTGCCGCTCCTACCGCCGCTGCCGGTGGTGATGCTCCCGCTGCTGCCGCCGCTGAGGAGGAGAAGGAGGAAGAGGAGGAGGAGGAAGACGAGGGCTTCGGTGGTCTTTTGTACGTGAAACCATTTCCCCCTTCTACCGTGACGGCTAAACTAACTCAACCACTAGCGACTAAACGGCGATATGAGCCTCGGGAGCCGGATTGGAAACCAGAGTTTCGATTAGGGTCCATGGACGAAAGTCCTTGGACGCTATTTCATAGAAAACTGACGAACCTATCCGTCACAATGAGACACGATTTCGACGATTTCTTTCTTACGATGCAATGTGAACAACAGATGATGTAACAGGACCACCCCTCTTGTTGCTTTATAATCGTCAAAAGGTTAGTTGCTTCACATTTTTTACATTTTCACCTCATCATTCTTTCTGGATGATTATAATAACACAAGAGCTTTTTAACCCTGATCTTAATTGATGACAAACATCACCACCCTATGACAGAATATCCATCTCATCTATTATTGTTTGAAATCCTTGAAGAGAACACATTCGCTAACTATATGAGAAAAGATTACAGGCAACTTCCTAATGGTTGAAATCCCGATTCTAAATGGCTTTTCATATTACATGGGCTTCATTCCGCGGAGGTGGAAACCTCTTGTGTTTGTACAGCGTTTGATAATACATGTTCTGCCTTGGCGATGACGGCAGCTGGCAATCCCGCCAGTCTCGCCACCTTCAGAGCGTGACTTTGGCGGTTAATTCCTTCCCGTAGTTTGTGAATGTAGATGAAGCCACCCCGGCCATCCTCCTGCACATCAGTACAGTAGAAACGAACTGCTCCTTGATCCTCGCGGCACAATCCTTCCGCCGAGGCAAGATCTGCAACCTCGTGAAAGTGTGTTGCGAAAAGCGTCCTGCACTGGTTGACTGTGACAAGATGGTGCAGACAGGCGTATGAGACTGCCGTGCCATCTTCTGGAGTGGTGCCTCGTCCGATCTCGTCCATGATGACAAGTGACCTGGGCGTTGCGTTCTTTAGGATCTGAGCCGTCTCTAGCATTTCCACCATGAATGTGCTCTGGTCTCGATATAGGTTGTCCGCCGAGCCGACACGGCTGAAGATGGCATCAACGATCCCAATCTCAGCGTAAGAGGCGGGCACGTAGCAACCGACCTGTGCCAGAATTGTGATGAGGGCATTCTGCCGCAGAAACGTACTCTTGCCAGCCATGTTGGGTCCAGTAATAAGCCACAGTCGGCCATGCGATGGGCTCCCAACGAGGCAGTCGTTTCTGACAAAACTTCTTCCTTGCTCATAGAGGCCGCCTTCTACCGTTGGGTGGCGGCCGCCGATGATTGTGTGGGATGTTGAATTATTGAGCTGAGGGCGTACCAGGTTCTGCTCAGTTGCCAACTTGGCAAACGCAGTGGCGATGTCAAGCTCGTCTAGGACGGCAGCGTTCCGGCGCAGCTCAATGAGATTCATCACCACCTGCGCTCGCAGTGCGTGGAACACTCGCTGTTCCTCGGCTCGGATGTGGAATCGCACTTGGTCGAGCCGCTGCCCGAGTGATGTCCATTCAGGCAGATGGAAAGACCTGGTGGATCGACTGGCAGACAGCGTCTTGATCTCCGTGAGGTTCCTGGTATCCTTTCCTTTGACGTGGGCAATATGCCCCAGTGCAGGAGTCCAGCGGAGGGTCAGACTAGCGGCCCCGAACCGCTCTTTGAGTTCCTCATTGAGATCGATCTTTTCTTGGAGTTGCTGAGCGAGCTCTGCGTGTAATTTTTGCA